GAAAAAGGATTTTTCACCTCTGGTATCTTTTTCTTTTTGTTTTTAGCTTTCATATCTTTTTAAAGTTTCCATCTCTCTGCGGAAAGGACAAGAGAGACTAAGGTGATCCTCTTTTGCTGCTGCCTCTTGTCAGGTTGTTTGTATTGGAGGCTGAATCAGTGTAATCAAGAGTTGAGCTGATTTTGGGTTTTGTCACCGTCATTACCCTCTCAGTGCACCACAAGCTTCATATTTCTCTAGCAGTTGGCTGCTGGTCCCTTGTGTTTAGAGAATGGCATGTCGCTCTACAAGATTTTTCTCTGTGTTCCTGTATCATCCTCATCTTCCAACAGTCTTTGCACATCTGTGCAACAGAAGTACCAATATTTCGTTACCCCTCTCCCAGTGATAGCCTATTGTTTGTTATTCAGTGCCATGCTTGTGGTACAGAGCAGGCTTCTCTTTTGTTCTGGTTCAGACTCAGTTGTATTCAGGTCATTTGTCCTGGGCATCAGTTGGGCTTTCTCAGCCTCAGCATTCCTGCCCTCTCTTTCTTGTGACCTGCCCTTTCTTCCATGTGTTTGTGGTAGGTCATGGACAGGAATATCCTTCTTTTCCCACAGTGGTGGTAGAAATCTCTTTGGTATTGGTGCAGGATTTTCCTGCTCTGTACTCCACCATGGTGGCAGAGGTTCTTTTGCCTCTACCCCTCTCCTAGCAACATTATATCTTTCCCTGTCACATGACTGAGAGTGTTTGTCTATCTCTTCCCCAGAGGCAGAAGCATTTTGCTTCTGTTCTGCCCTGAAGCAATGGATTTTTGCCAGGACCTTTGGTTAGAGGATTTTCTGTTCTCCTAGTGGCTTGAGGCTTTTTTTCTGTGTTAGAGAACAGTTGGGGAATCAGGCTTCAGCCTTGTCCTAGACACCTCCTGCACACTTCCCCTAATGATGAGGGCTCTCTCTGGTTTCCTGTCCTACTGTTATACTAATCTTTCTTGTGAGCAGCTGGTCAAGGCACGTGGAAAATCTTGCAACTGAGTGAGAACTTTCCTTATGTCTGGGGTCCCCAGCTATTCTAAACTGACATAGAAGGTTACACTTGGTCTTTAAGAATTTGTTAAAATTTTAGCTAATTTTTTCTTTTACTATTGTATAGTGGCCACTTCTTTTTCTGTGACCTGCCGAAGGTCAGACAGTTTGTGTGTAGTCTTTGCTTGGAGGAGTTATCCCTCCAAGAAGAGGAATAAAATGTACTTGGAATTTTATTAAATTTGCTTGATTGCCTTGTGACCTCCACTCTTTGTTAGACCAAGAGAAGTTTTGATTTTATAGATAGGATTTTTTTTCTCATTAGGATGGAAATGACATTCTTTTGTGGCTTTCTGCATTCTAAGCAGAAATAGAGCTACTTAGAGTTCTTGACAATTTAAAAATTCTGTTTATGCTGATCCTCCTTTAATGTTTTCCCTTTTCCCTCATCTGCCTCTTGATCACTTCTTCTTTTAGGATTGAACCCCAGCTATTTCCTCCATGAAGCCTTTCCTGATTCCAATAAGTAGAATGGAGCATTCTTAACTGTGTCTCTTGTAGAACGTGTTTTATGTTTTTGCAGGCCCATTGAAACCCTCAGTGAGATTGGGCAGTTTCCCCTAAGATTTTGCAAGTTTATGAGCATAATGGTTGTTGAGTTTTTATATAGGATCATAGAGTAAACTTGAGATAAAAGATAAAATGATGTACAAGGAAGCTCGTATTTATTAATCAAATACAAATTTGTGAAATCACACCACAGAGGTTTCTGTGCTGTTTGTGTAGTTATTGCCTTTGAACTAAATTATTGTCAGAAATAAGACTTAAATTCATAAAATCTAATTTTTGAAAAATAGGGGATTCGTTATACAAACTAGTATATATTGACGCAATGGAATATTGTAGAGCTGTAAAAGCAATGAAGAAACATTTCCTAACTTGGATATCCAGGACATACTGCTGAATAAAAAGTAAGATGCAAAACTGAACATTTTTTGTAAGAAGGCAGGAGGAATAAGACTGTATTTGTAGGTAAACGTCTTTGTGTAAAGCATTGCTGGAAGAATATACAAGAAACTAGTAAAAGTGGTGACCTACAGTAATCAAGGGCAAAGTGACCTGCATATGGATGATGTGGGAATGAGGCTTCTTAGATATAGGTTTCCTTTTATATCATTTTGATTTTTAAATCATGAATATAGCATGTATTCAAACAATGAAAACCAATAGACATAACTAGGTAGATATTGAAAGATAGGAAGATGTGAAAAATTCTTCAGAGCTGATAAAAATGTTAGTCTATGAAACAAAAACTGGATGTGAGATGCTTTTATTTTACATAAGCCAGCTTTCTTCAATGAGAGAGTGAATACAAAGTGTGGAAAATTGTGAAGGACAAGGTTTTATGAATCTGGCTCCAGATAGAGAAATATGTAAAAAGGTAGCTTTCTAGCACAATTAGGAAGGTTTTGGTTTTAGATGCAGTAGTAGTGTGGATGATCACTCAAAGTAGAAAGGAGCACTTTGTATAGGTAAAAACTGTAACAGAAGTACACAGTACGTGGAATGGGCAAGGCAGCCATTTCTTACTCCTGAAATCACCAGGAATACCCTTGGAATCTGATAAGATGTGTTTATTGTCAGAAAAAATAGATGAAAATACTAAGAATATTCTTATCACAAATTAAAACGTGTAAAGAAACAATAATTACTTAAATAAATTGTAGCTCAGAGACCAACCTTATGGGCAAACAAATGAAATATAAAAGAAGAAACTTTGTAAACCAAAGGATGATGAGAATTCCTTAATGTTGCTGGGAAAAACTGGTTGGTAATTTGAAATGCAGGTCAGTTTAGAGCCAAATCTCATTCTGTACATTATATGAAATGAAATACCGAGAAGATTAGTCCATAGAAAAATGAAAATCAGAGTATTATCTACTATTATTAAAGGGGGAGAAATTTCAAAGCAGAGAAATAATAAAAGATATGAAAAATGCAATGATGGGCAAATCCATCCACCTGAAAATAAAATCTTCTGTATTAAGGGCCAGCGATAAGACTGGAGAACGTGTTAAAAGTAAGCAAGATAAATAGTACAAGTTGAGCAACCCAAGTTTGAAAATCTGAAATCTGAAATGCTTCACATTACAAAACTTTTTGGATGCTGACATGCGCACAAAGGAGCATTTTGAATTTCAGATTTTTGGATTTCAGATTCTCAACTAGTAGGGGTAGAGTGGCAGAAGTTTGGGAAAAAGGCAGTGTGAATTATGGGAGAAGGACCTAATTAATGGTGCATTAAGGGTTGCTGCACAGCATTCGGTGTCTAGTTGAATTTTGAGACCATAATTTTATAGCAGGATCAAGTCACATGGTTGTGTGATTGTTCTCTAGCAGGCAATTGGATTAGGAGTTTGAGGGTGGTGAAGCTGAAGCAAGAAATAGCATACTATGTGGATTTATAGTTGGGGAGATAACCAAGATTTTGAAACTGGAGATAACAAGCAACTAGAATGGAGAAAGAGTAGGTAGAGTGCATCCAAGGGAATGAGTCTAGACTCAGGTTAGAAAAAATAGAGTGAGATATTGAATGATAAATTGAAGAAGAGGGTCATACAGCCAGATGGGACATCACAGGGAAGGAAGGAAATTGCTTGTGAGGATCTGGAAGTGTCACTCTGGAGAATTTTGTCTCTACCGTGTTATCCTTCACTCTAAAGCATTATTTTCGAGAGCCAGATTTAGCCCAGTGGTTGAAAGAGTTGGTCAGGATGGTCAGTGATGAGAGTTGGCCAGTGAGTGGTCAGAGTTGGTCATCATTCTCAGTGATGAGAATGTATAGATGATCTGTTTTACTTACGTAAGAGGGATTTCCAGAGGTCCTTGTGGAAAAAGTTGGAAGCAAGGGTAGCAGTGGGAGACCAAATGGAGTAGATGAGAAAGCATAACTGGGGGCGTGCAAATAGGACAGAGGGTAGTTGGCTAGAATGGTTTGTGTTTTGAATAAAGTCCAAGAGTGATAGGGGTAGGAGTCACAGGTAGAATTTACTAGCCCTACATTTCTGACCTGCGGTATAATGACCGTCTCTGGAGCCTGATCCACTGCCTGTCTTTGTGATTATAAAGAGAATGTTAGTAAAAAGCTTAACCCTGGGTGGTAAAACCTAAATTAGTTTGGCCTTAAATAGCAAAAGCCAGTAAAACTCTCTTTTTTTTTTTTTTTTTTTTTGAGACAGGATCTCACTCTTTCACCCAGGTTGGAGTGCAGTGGCGTGATCCTAGCTCACTGCAGCCTCAACCTCTTGGACTGCAGCCATCCTCCTACCTCAGCCTCCCAAGTAGCTGGGACTACAGGTGCATGCCACCAAGCCCAGCTAATTTTGTATTTTTTGTAGAAACAGAGTTTTGTCATGTTGCCCAGGCTGGTCTTGAACTCCTGAGCTCAAGCAGTCTGCCCACCTTGGCCTCCCAAAGTGCTGGGATTATAAGCATGATCTACTGTACCATTAATTTAGTAAAATCTAATTTGTAATATCCCACTTCCAGTGGCCTAGGATGGAATAATAGCCATGATATCAGGTGCTTCTTTATGACAGAGTTCTTCTGCTAGGAACCTTGTTTCCTTTTACTGTTCCACTTTACCTGAAACTGGATACTCAGGCTACTGCTGCTGGAGTGACTTCAGCAACTTCCCTGGAATACCAAGGCAAGCCCCAATTGATTGCATACCTCCTTTGGGGATCTGAGCTTTTAAAAAAGCTAGCAACTACCTTTTATCAACTTGATATATTTATCTATTATATCTTTAATCTTTAAATTAGTTTTTAAAAACTTGTTGGTGCTGACAAGAATGAGAATTGACATTTCTTGAATAACTAAAGCATCTGTGTAAGAATCTTTGTATGCTTACAAACAGTGGTGTGTCACAGTACCTAAAATCTGTAATGTTTTCAATGGCCCGATTGTGTCTTCTGTCTCCTGCTTTAGATCTATCCATACTAATGGAAACGTAACTGGAACTGACTCTGATGATAAAATCAAGGACCATCAAGCAAGATCATGCAGTAGGCAACTTTGCTTCCACATGAAGTTACCAACATTTAGAATTTCTACTTATTCTAAGGTATTTGAGACGCAATTTTACTTTAGTTTTGACTCCTTAGTAGTCATTTTGTAGTGTTGATTTATAGATAATAGGTTTGGTGCGTTTAAAAGTACTTAATATGTTAGAATGCTTAGCTCTTAGAGAAGAGTTCACTTCCCTCCTTTCCCACTATACTCCCAAAGAAACCAACTGAGAAGTGATCCAGATTTTTTTTTTTTTCCAAAAGCCTACAGTACTCAGTATTCCCATGTGGTCTCACAACCAAGTACTAACCAGGCCTGACTGTGCTTAGCTTTTGAGATCAGATGTGTTCAGAGTGGTATGGCTGTAGACAAGATTTTAAAGGGATCTATTTATTAAAATTAGGAAAGCATATCAATTATAAGAAATACATTAAGTGTAGATTAAGTCTCAGTAACTATATTAGAGGAACTGGAATAAATAAATATCAATTTCATAATTATTTACATTATGACCCTGAGAGAAACAACTGAACGCAGCACTCTGAGTCCACCTGCATGATGTCAGAGACCTTATTGATCTTCCTTTAGATGGTTTGAAACCTTTCTCGCCTTTCTTCCTAAATTTATTGTTAGGGATTTTCTATTCACCAGTATGTGTCACTGTTACTCTCTATAAGCTGTCCCTGTAGGACCTTTGGGAGCTAATGAATTACTTGGGCCAGAAAACCAAGATATTTAATTAAAGAATCAGGTGACACTTCCAAAATATGGGGTGGATCCCCACTTGAAAGACCATGTAAGACAAATAAAACAAAAAGGAAATATAATGTCAACAGAAAGCAAAACCAAAAATAATTCTATGTTTTCACGTAAATTACAAATAGGTAGAGTGACTTAGGTGTTTATTTAAAAACAAAATGTTTTTTATTTTAACTATATTTTTCCAAATAGGCAGAAAGTATGGAAACTATTTTAGGGGACAGGTCAAAGTTTGTTGATTTCTCTGAATATGTTACAGAGTTTTGTGAATTAATATTTTGCTAGAATATAGAGAAGGTAAAACCTGAGAAAAATTTAAATATGTATCACTTACTGCTAGGATTCTTAACTTTGTTCTGTTCTAGAAGACGACTTTGTAAAGCATAAATTCCAAAATAATAAGAATTCATGATATTGGAAATCCTTAATGTCATGGGCTCCTTGGGATGTCATTTCACTGAGTTTTGCTCGGGCCCACTGGGCCCACTCAGCCTGGCAGGCTGTGTGCAGCTCACACTATTGGCCTGGATCCCATGCCTGCCAAGGGTGAGCAGAGCAGTGAGGGGTGTGTGAGCAAGTGAGTGTGGGGTCTGGCCACTTTGCACAGCCGGGCACACTGGCTGTGGTGGGGCAGGCAGCTCCAGGCACCAGCATGGGCACTGGCTCCCTGCCAGCTGTGTCTGGACCAGGTGTATCACAAGCAGCTTCCCTGGCTGGCACCAGGGAATGCAGTGGTCCCCGGAAGCTTGGAGATGCCAGGATCTGCAGAGCCCTAAAGAGTATGTCAAAGCCTTGGCTCGAGGAACTCCTAGGTCTGGGCTCTCTGAAGGGCTGCAGCTCTTCTGTCTTCTTGTCACCCTCAATGTGGCAAGCAAGGAGCGTATTTCAGTCCTGTTTGTGTTACAGCTCTTTCAACCCTGCTATTCAATGTGTCCCAACTTCTTGTCCCACACCCAGGAAGAATAAGGTACATGGATAAATGGAGGGTGAGCGAAGTGAACAGGAACTTTATTGAGCGATAGAACAGCTCAGAGGAGACTTGCAATGGATAGCTCCTTTCTGCAGCCAGGGTGTCCCAATGAGTGCTCAGCTTTCAGCAGAGAGAAGACCATGGAGTTGGAGTGGGTAGCACCTGGTCATCCCATCCTCTCCTCAACTTTCAGCAGAGAGGAGACCCTGGAGTGGGTGGCCCCTCTCTGCAGCTGGTCATCCTATCCTTTCCTCGAATTTGGCTGAATCCAGGGTTTTTATGGGCTTCAGAGGGGTTGAAGTACATGCCAATTGGTTCATGAGTGGTCCCAGAAAAAGCACCGTAAGTTTCCATTCCAGTCCACGGGACTGGCAGCCTGGCCCCCAGGCTTCAAGCATTCCCTGGTTTGAAGGTGAGGTTTTCAGGGACCTGCCCCTTTCTGCCCAGAAGCCTATCTGCCTCCTACCACTCTTCGTGGTGCCCAGGCTGTTCCTGCTTTGGAGCACCTGCAGACTAGCATCGAGCCTCTCCTTAGCCTCCCTCCCGTGCTCGTCAGCACCCACCCAGCTGGGTTGCAACAGTGCCTGGCCTTGGCCTCAACTTTGAGATTGAAGCAGGTACTGGGAGCAGGAAGAGGCCAGGCAGTGGGAGTAAGCACTTCTGAGCCTGCAAGGGCATGGGGGGCCTTCCTGGGTCCCCAAGAGTGCAGAGAAGTCTGGGTCCACAGTGGTGGCTGGGCAGTTGCAGCTGCACCCAGAAGGGCAGGCCTTCTGCCTGCTCCCAGCCCCTGCCGGCCCAGTGGAGCACACAGCCCTTCCTACACTTACCCCACTGCAGCCGCTCTAGATGGGCCGCTGCTGCCATCAGTAAGACTGCCTCAGCTACCAGAAATGGATTACCTCCTGGAAGGGGTTAGTGTAATTGAGCAATTTTTGCTAAAGAAAAATTATCTCAAATCAAGTAGCAGATGAAAAAGAGGTTACTTTGATGATAAGTTTTGAAATGTCCCTGGCAACGAGTAAATGTATTGTACTTTTCTTTGTTTGCTTGATGTCATTTGAACTCAAATAGTAATGATGATTAAATATATAGTTTGTCTTAGTACCAGAGCCATTTTACTTGTTTTTAGGTGTATCTTTTCTCCTTACTTTCTTTTTTTTTTTTTTTTTTTTTTTTTGAGACGGAGTCTCGCTCTGTCGCCCAGGCTAGAGTGCAGTGGCCGGATCTCAGCTCACTGCAAGCTCCGCCTCCCGGGTTTACGCCATTCTCCTGCCTCAGCCTCCCGAGTAGCTGGGACTACAGGCGCCCGCCACCGCGCCCGGCTAAGTTTTTTTTTGTATTTTTTAGTAGAGACGGGGTTTCACCGTGTCAGCCAGGATGGTCTCGATCTCCTGACCTCGTGATCCGCCCGTCTCGGCCTCCCAAAGTGCTGGGATTACAGGCTTGAGCCACCGCGCCCGGCTTCTCCTTACTTTCACTTAGGAACATTAGCGGAATGCCCAAGCTTTGTAAAGAATGATTCTAGATATGGGGAAGAATATAAATCATTCTGTAACTTCGTTATAAATGAAATTGAAGATGTCTTTTATTCAGAATGCTTACTCTTGGGCTAGGAAGACTGGATACACCCATCTGAAACCATTTATGTGCAGTCATAGAATGCGCACATCAAGTCATAATCTAGAGTCCCTTTCTAAGTAATATACTTAAGTTCTATATTCAGACCTTAACAAAAGTAAAGATTAGGGAATAGGAAGTTTTCATCAATTGAGTTTGGTAATTGGTTGTGTGAAAGTGCCATATAGCCTAAATTAGGTTGCTTAAATTTTTAAATTAGGAATTTCTTCTTTATCAGTTTCTTTTTTTGAGACAGAGTCTCATTTTGTTGCCCAGGCTAGAGTGTGTGGTGGCATGATCGTGGCTTACTGCAACCTCCGCCTCCTGGGTTCAAGCAATTCTCCTCCTCCCCAGTAGCTGGGATTACAGGTGTGCGCAACCACACCTGGCTAATTTTTGTATTTTTAGTAGAGACGAGTTTCACCATATTGGCCAGGCTGGTCTTAAACTCCTGGCCTCAAGTGATCTGCCTGCCTCGGCCTCCCAAAGTGCTGGGATTACAGGCATGAGCCTCTGCACCTGGCCATTTATCAGTGTCTTATATCTCCTCACTGTTTTTCAGATGTTCACAGAGTGATAGCCCCTATTCATATTTTTCATTTTCCATTTTGAAAATGAAGTGAAAAATCTCACAAATTTGTGCTTGGAAGAGTATACCTTTGAACTTCAGATTTAAAGAATATGGCATTTTGTTGTTTTGGGGCATAAGAGCAAAATCAATACGTGAGACGGTAAGTTAAGGCCCTAGAACATTTGCAAAGTTATATGTCCTGGATTACAGTTTACATTAAGTTAAAATGATACCTTTTTAAAATGTTTTGTCTGAACTCAGTACAACATTTGAAAGCAAATTTTGGCAAGTTATATTAAGGGAATGGATATTCCCTGCTATAGTTTTTTCTGTGCTATGATGGAAAGAGCAGAAGCTTTACTTTCATGCTACCTTGGGAGAACTGAATTAATATTTCTTAGTTTCCTTTTCTGTAAGAATTAATTTTTAGAGGTGATGAAGAATGAAATGTGTGTGAAATAATGAAAAATAATGCTTCTTAATGTGAAATTAATGAATGTTGTTGCTAAGACAGGGAGGTACACATTACTGTATCATTCAGAGGTATCCTTTTCACAGCAAAAAACAGGTCTACTCACTATTGAGAAGCTTGTAAAACCAGTTTCAAAGTTAATAGCAAGTATTATGCTTGCAGAGAAAGTAAAATGAGTTTTTGGCACAAATCCTTTATCAAAGACATACCATCTGGAAAAGCAATTACTGTCATGTGCACATGCCAGTATTTTGTTTTTCAGCTGGATGAAAGCACTGATGTACAGAGGATATACTAGTGCTTGATACAGGTGTGTTACTGTTTATCACTGAAGAATCACTATAGCAGAAGAGTTTTATGTTTTGTTTTTGGTCAGTTGTTTTTTTACGCCATTATAGCCTAGAAAAGCTGCATTATGTCCTTCTGATCAAAGCACCAACAACTATAGCTGCAGGAAATGGTCTACTTGCCTTTTAAGTAAAAGAAGTTGCAGCAGGATATCAATTCATATCCCACTTTTTTCAGAGAGGAGAATTGGCATTTAGTAATGTGACTTTTTGTCATGATTTAGTGTTGAATAAAATAGTAAAACTTGTGAATGTAAGCAGTTTTGGCCACTAAAGCCACCTCTTTTCAGTTTTATGACAAAATAGCAGCAATAGTATT